AGGAGCAGTAGTAGTATTCTAGTATACAATGCAGCGGGGAGGAGTGGCCCAGGAATACAAATATATGTATATACATGAGCAGCAGGATAAAGTTAACGGGCCACATGTTGCAGTACCTGTTGGCAACTGCGTTCAGGGCCTCAAGGAACTCTGTGTATCGTTCCTCGTCCTCAAAGTTGCACTTGTTGGCTAAAATGTCCAGGTACTGCTTGTTCCATCGCATGTCCACAAGAATCCTGTATTCATCTGCAAAGCAACAGACAGTGGTCAGATTCCATGATGGTGGCAGCAGTATGGAGTAACATGGGTCAAATATCTGATAAAGAGCAGAGAATATAATGCACTGAAATCATCGTCAGTTTTGACCAAGAATGACTGAAAATCATGAACTTCTATTTCAGGTCACATGATCTTTAGGTTTTGCTGTAAGGATAAGGCCCTGAAGCAGGGGTGTCAAACTCAATTTCATCGCGGGCCACATTTGCATAAAGGTTGCACTCAAAGGGCCGGTTGTAACTATATAAATATATAATATATATATAAAATAATGTATTATATATAACATTATTGCCTCTGAATTGAATTATTATCGGATAGGATAATAACTTAGTAATTAACTACGTCTGAAAGCAGAAGTCCAGGGCAAATAATTGCAAGTATCTCCACGTGCGCATGTCACAAAACAAGATGCATTGTGGGACATGTAGTTTATGGGCAACCTGCTTCTGTAAAGTGGCATGTAATCGTATAATAAACTTATTATATTCTTTGCAAGCTCTTGCAGGGCCACATAAAAGGAAATCGCGAGCCGGATTTGGCCCCCGGGCCTTGAGTTTGAGCCCCCTGCCTGAAGGATAGCGAACAGCTACAGCTAACAGGAACAGAGAGAACAAATCTTGATATTCTCAACGATTGTTGATTTAAAATTCATTTGTTATTCATTTGTTATTCTAAATATTAAAGTGTAAACTAAAATGTTGACCGATCAAAAACGCTGCTAAAGGTTCTGTAAACCTCTGGTGCTGTAAGAAGAAGTAACAGTGTCATGTTTGTGGCAAGCTATGCCTTCTGAGCATGATATTTACAGATGGCAAGGTTAAGCAAAGTGCATCCAAACACTTGAATTATTAAAAGCTATTTTGTTTTTAGTTTTTGAGAAAGAAAATCTGATTTGTATCGTATTGTCAGTTAATTAATTTGCAGTATGTGTATCAGACAGGAACAAATGGTATTGAGCAATGCCTTCTTTTTTATATATACAGAAAGCATATATAATCATATGTGCAGGATGTGCTTTGCATATTCTAGTCATGGATTACAAAATGACTTTTTTATGGAAGAACAAGCCAACCAAAGTGTGTACCTGTGCTGTGGGGCTGCAGCAGCTGAGTCAGGGACTTGCCCTTGGTAGCCAGTTTGCCCCCGAACACCGCCTTCAGGGCCCGGTTCCCTGCCTCCACCTGCACCAGAGCTGAGTCTGGAAGATAAACAGGCACAAGGTTTCAGGATCCACAGTACTGGATAGTGCTGAACACTAAAGAAAACTATCATTTTCATTTCTGCGAGGTAGTGTGGTTACAAAATAAAACTGTAAAACACATCCCTAAGATGTCCTGTGATGTCATTGTCTCTTATATATGACATTTTAAACGAAACATGAATGTTGACATCTTTCCAAATATTCTGGCCAGTTTGTGGGTTACAGACCAGGGGCCTGCTTGTAGCTCTTTCCGAGGTGTGAGAGCCAGCTGCTGCGGAGGATCCAGTCCCCGTGAGAGGCCCTCTCAGTGAGCAGCCTCACTGCGGTGGGGATCAGCCGAAGAGCGTCTCCCTCTGCCAGATCCACCACCCCCCCGGAGAAACTCAGGCCTTCATGGACCCCGCTGCCCTGCAGGGCCCTGCGCAGGTCACTCAGGCTCAGGGGGCGGCTCCTGTGGACAACAGCAATGAGTCAATTTGCCAGGGTTTAAAGTCTACAACATATCTGCCTTGTATTTGAACTCTTATTGTACTCCACTTTAACTGGCAGTTAGACAGTGTTCAGCAGTTACACCATAGTAAACACATACAGTACTTTATCTTGTAATGCTTACAGTTAGACCTTCACTGCAAAGAATTTCAGATCTCATGTGACATCATGCACTTACACTTCAGCTGACATTTCAATTGTATACATTTCCCTGACAACAAATCATCCATTTGAACTAATACTGACTGTATTGTCAGCTTCTTAAAATAAAGCAACACTTTACTAAGCACATACACTATACAATTTTTCTCCTGAATTCTACATTTAAATTGCCACTACGGGTGCTGTATTTTAATAGTAGGTACATCTGATGTTCCTTTAACACCTGGATAAATACACACAGTGTATATAATGTGTTGTATATTTCTGTGATGGCTCGCAATACTCTCCTCACCGTTTGCCCTGCAGGCTGAGGGTGTTCAGGCAGAATGAGAGGACCTGTCCGTCTCGGAGGACAGCGGAGAAGCAGGAGTCCTCGGTGGAGAGGAGGGCGGAGGGGAAGCCGTCGGGCCAGACCCCCGCACACAGGAGCCCACTCCCCCAGTCCTCTGTGTCCAGGATGGCCAGCTGCTGCTCTATCAGCAGCTGGGCTTGCTGGAAGGAAATAATGCATCAATGATTTACTCCTATTATATGTTCTAACTAAATGTCTTTATGCTGGAGGAAAGGTTACAAATGTATGCTTGGGTGGACCATGAATAGTCACAGCAAAATGTTTTGGGAATCTGATTGGTTAGTTACCAGAAACCATGTCAAGTACCAAAATGATTAATCAAATTGAAATTGCAGACTTTGGCTTGTGATGCTCCAGCAATAATTTAAGGTTATAACTAATGTAAATGTAGTCTAACTTTGGGCCTCATCATTGAAAATATCACCAAATATATCAAGTATTTACACCGTCTTTTATTTGATAGGTCACACTGTTATGTGCCACCAGCATAGAGGAGGAATATAAATGCAAATCTCAGAGAAATGTGACCCAAAGAGAGAAAGAAAACAAAAGGGGTAACAAGTTAGATGTCTGGTGGACACCACGGGTATGAGGGCATTACCACATTGAGACAGTTGGGATCATGCATTGAAAAGGGGGTGTCCATACCTTTTGGTTGGTGTTGGTGCGCTGGCACTGAGAGTAGGCCTCTCCACAGGCATGCTGCAGGGCGCTGGGTAGATCCACGCCTCTCTGCAGCTGGCAGGACAGCAGGGAGGCCGCATGGAGGAGGGAGGCCACTGAGGAGGCCGGGGAATCTGAAGGATGGAAGCACATCGTTTAAATTATCTCTGAGACTGAAGTCCTGGAGATCAGTTCCCTGCACTATTCCACTATTTCACTTTTTGTATTTACTTGCACAATTCTTTTAGTTTTTTTCTGTTGCACTGTTGGAGGAGCCTGTGACCTAAGATCATAACTACACTGTAGCTATGTACGCATGACCAATAAAAGCCTTGAACCTAACCAAGCTTGCAGGTCTGGCTTGGTGGGCTATCAAATTCCCTTGCTCTTCAGAAAATCACCCTTATGCTTAAGGCTGCATATTCTACCTTTGATGGGATTTGGTGAAGCTTTTTATCCTTTCTCGAAGGGGAGAACACCACAGTAACCTTTGTATAATTTTTATTTTATTATATATTTATATTGTGCCCTGATGTGTATCTGCTTTCTATCTTGCTCTTTCTTTTTTTTATGATTAATAAGTGAACATTTTCAATAAAGTCCTCTGCAGACTGACTGACTGACTGACATGCAGCATTTCTTTGTGTTATTGTTATCAATGCTTACCCCAAATGGCGGTTTTGATACTTTTATGTATTCCTATTAGCAGATCACACACACAGTCCCCGGTCACCCCCGCAGTGTGAAGCAGGGTCTTCAGGTCCAGTGTGTCCCAGCAGACCCCCTCATGTTCCCCTGGGATGTATATCTCCACCCCTCTGTTCCTCATGGCTCTGGAGAGTTCCCCATGAACAGGATCCATGGTGAGGAACAACCTGCAACGCCCGAACATCAGCTGACCAAGGACAAACTTTTCAACAACTTCAATAAAAGAAGTGAACAATATTGCATGCTACCTGAAGTTAGGATGAGGTGTGATTTTGGGGGTCTTCCCGTCTATGACGCCTCGTTCGTTGATGGTGAGAGATCCACCGGGCTCCAGCAGAGCATTGAGGCGATCCAGGACGGAGGCACTAACAAGAACACATGGTCAGTGCAATGAGCTAAATATGTTGATATACTTCGCTTTATCTAAAGCTCATTTCAAATAACTATCTCACACTGTTCGGGACTTCAATTCCTTTGCTCCCCACATCTGCATTACTTTCTGTAAATATGTGCAAAAAGCTTTAGTTTGGTTTTTCTTGAAGCCGGTATCAAAATTATGATATTTTCTAAAACATCTTCTGCAAAGCTCTCAGACCCTGAGTTTTTAATGAGGATATTTTAACCCAGCCCAGGGTTGAGGCCATGTCTTATATATACACACCATGTAAAGGCCAAATCGCAACTAAACAAACTTTTTACAAATAGCTCAACAAGAACCCAAATCACTTTCTCTCACCTGCAGAAGTTGACGTTGTCCATGAGCAGCCAGTCCCCGGCCTGAAGGGCCTGGACCAGCATCCCGTCGAGCCACTCGAAGCCTCCGTTGGTCCAGCCGTCCTCCAGCTGAGCCAGGCGCTCCTTCAGCAGCGTGAAGTCCAGCTGCAGTTTGGACATGTCTGGAGGAGAAACACAGGCGTGTTACAGCAGTGGGACCATACTCCTGATCGTCCCATCAGGCAGTATTCAGCTGTCAGACACTGCTGGGCCATTACCAGTGAAAACTTTGAGCTTTGTGTTGAGTTTCTGCAGCAGCAGGATGATGACCTCCAGCTTGTTCAGAGCCTCTGAGTTGATGGTCCCCCCCGTCCTCTGCTGCCTCTCCTCCTTCAGCCAGTGGCAGAACAGACCCCAGGTCTGCAGCAGGAACTCCGTGTCCTGGATTCCCACATCCAGCGACATCAGGCCACGCCTTATTACATTAGCAACTATGTAGTCCACGCTCTCCAGAACCTGTTGCCATGGCCGCATGATATCAACCTGGGACGAAGAAAAGGTGCAGAGTGATAAAAACTGAAAATGTAGACATTGAAGAGGCACTTAAATTAGGAAATGTTCGTCCATATGAATGAACCATTGTGAGGAATGTTAGCTGATCCATTCCTATGATTTAAATGTATGGGAATTAAGTTAAAGTCCTTGTCCTTTTTAACTATTCGTTTTGCCATTTATTTGATTTTAAGCTACATATATTTTTTTAATTATCATTTATACACTCTGATATGTTTGCTATATTTGCATATTGTGTACTATGGTTAGAGAGAATGTTAGTATATCTAATATGTTAAATGTCCAAAATCATAATTTAGTACAGAGAGATGTAGTGTGATGTTTCGAGACAGAAAGAGGCTGGTTACACTAGAGATCTGAGGTGCCGCTACCTGTTCGAACCCCCCCAGCAGCTCCGTGGTGTCCATGGCGCTGTTCATGGCCAGCACCCTGAGGCGGTGTCCCGTCAGCAGAGCCAGCAGGCGGGCCAGGCTGGTCTTCCCGCTGGCTGTGGGGCCCACCAGTATGGTCATCCAGCCCATCTCCACACACTTCATCAGGGACTCCAGGGGCCGCAGCACCTGGTGTGTGATGGACAGGGGGGGATCCAGGGCCACAGGGGCCCCACCAATGCGCTGCAGGACGGAGAAGCCCACCTGTAGGAGCAATCCATGGGAGAAAAACCATTAACTTCTCCTCATCATTTAGATTTCTACAACACCAGACAGAGGTTTGGTAGTCCTGACGAACCTGCAGGTTGAGAGGAGTGATGTGGAACTGCCGGGAGCCGCTGTACGGCTCAGAGTCCTCCCCGAACACCTTCCTGAACACCGACAGAACCTGTCGGACGGCAGGGGTTCACAGAATGAACAGTGGAAAACACTTTACAAAGAGGTGAGTAACAAGAGAAGGAATAGTGAGGTTGGCGACTGAATGCACTGAAGTTAGAGGGTGTAATCTTTGCATGATAAGCAGTTGAACTACTCTGCACCGGCAATGGTGCTGCCCGAATAGGAAGAACAATCCCCTTGGTGTAATGAACTACTCAAACTAGAGTTAAAAGTATGCATTTTGGTATTAAACCTCAGCGTTAAAAAATCATAAACACAAACTCCCAAGAGGAGGACAGAAGGGAGTCTCTTTTCTGAAACAGCTCCATATATTGAGGATTACCACCCATTACGTTCAAACCAAATACATTTCCGACTGCCTTGTTCTGAGGGACCTGTAGATGTATTTTTCCCAGACCTTCAAACCAGGATCAGATATGGTCAGTTCAATTGGCCAGCACCCTTTACTTTGATAACCAAAAGACTGGTTATGTTATGCCTGAGTCTGAAATGTCCTGCTCTCTTTACTTAGATGGCAAGACAACAAACACACGTCCCAAACAACTATCATAGGTTTTTGTAAAAGATCGTCTTTGTTTCATAGTGTTTTCAAAAGTGCAACAGTATCACCATTAAAAGTATAAAAACAACTGGAACAAAACACAAAAGAAAACAAGGAAGTATCTCAAGTACAACAGACACTAATTCATTAAACATGATTATTTGAAAACCCAATAGAGTGATGCAGTGACGCGTCCTAAAACCCGGAAGTAAGTTTTTATCATTTTCAATTAATAAATCTATCGATTAGATTTATGATTCGAAATGTATAAAAGTAGGGTAGACATGTGGAGATTATCCGACTGAACAAAACGTGATCCGTCTCTTAAATGTGTGTCAACCACAGACCTTATTTCGAGCTATTTTCCAAAATCCTATGGAGAAATTGCATTGCTTTTTTGTCGAGGGAACCAGAAAAAGCTTACTTTCGGGTTTTAGGACGCGTCACTGCACCACTCTATTCAGCTACTTCTAATTAGTGCAAATGCTGTGCAACAGCATTCCACTATAGTTCTTCAAATCTTTATTCTTC